TGATGAAAACTAAAATGTCAAAAAATCAAAACAAAATCAGTGACGATCATAACCTTAAAACTCGCAATTTAGGGGAAGAGGAAGTAAATTTTTGACGTTTGAAGTACGGACGGAAACGGGGCAGGTACAGCGGCCATTTTTAGGTCACGGGTTCTGGAATGCCTAATAAATTTCATGTATTTGGAGTAGTGAAACATTCACACCACACTGTATTACTACTATCCAAACCGATTTTTCAACGCCTCGACACTTGTTGGTTGTAATTTCTTAGTTGTAATGATCGTGGGAAAACATATACAGGGTGTAAATTTGAAAACTTTCAATGCGAATATCTCACGAAATAAAAAAGTTAGAAAAACGCCGCTTAGCACAAATGCTAAAGTTTTAGGAAGAACTAGAACCACCATATTTCAGTGAAGGGATAAGTCACCCTGTCAGCGCGACACACCCCAACTTTGAAATGTCAAATGGCACTACCCCTTTTGTGATACCTCAAATGAACGGTCTCAGTCAGTAGTATTCACCTGTACAAGACTTTTTTTCCACCCACTACAGGGTGTACGAAAAACAAAGTCGAGGGTCTTAATTTGAAAACTTTCAAGCGAATATCTCGCTAAATAAAAAAGTTGGGAAAACACCGTTTGGCACAAATGCTACAGAGTTAGGGGGAACTAAAACCACCATACTTCAGTAAAGGGATGAGTCACCCCGTCGGCGCGACACACTCCATCTTTGAAATGTCAAATGGTACTACCTCTTTTGTGATACCTCAAATGAACGGTCTCAGTCAGTAGTATTCACCTGTACAAGACTTATTTTCCACCCACTACAGGGTGAACGGAAAACAAAGTCGAATAAAATAAAATGCAGAATGCCGATATATTCCAAGAGATGTGTTCCAAAATGATAGAATGGCATTTGAGTATCGATTATACTATTGCTTACAACAGAATGGAATGCATTTTGAACATCTGATCAAATAAAATATCCTTTTAACACAATTCATTTTATTTTATTCGACTTTATATTTTTCGTACACCCTGTAGGGGGAAAAAAAAAAGTCTTGTACAGGTGAATACTACTGACTGAGACTGTTTATTTGAGGCATCACGAAGAGGTAGTGCCATTTGACATTTCAAAGTTGGGGTGTGTCGCGCCGACGGGGTGACTCATCCCTTGACCGAAATTGGTGGTTCTAGTTCCCCTTAACTCTTTAGCATTTTTGCCAAACGGCGTTTTTTTAACTTTTTTCTTTCGCGAGATATTCGCATTGAAAGTTTTCAAATTTACACCTTGTATGAGCCATACTAGGCAAAACAGTGTTTCCCCAGCATGTCAAAGAATAGTAATAGATTAGAGGTTGGAAGGAGATTAGTCTATGGCTACAACGGACTAGTGCTGATCAATGATCTTTTATTTCCCAATTTGGCTGGCAATGCCAATGTAAGTGTATGTAGTTTCAAAACGAAAAGTGTCTTACCCGGGAGAATTAAATCATTGGTCATGAGGTGAATTTATTAGTATACAGAATGTATACAGTATCGATGTTCTCAGGTTGGGCAAAATATAAGAGTAGTTATGTAAGAAATTGAGAATGCTGTTAGAACATTACATACCTCTAAAAACTAGGAACATACGTCAAAAACTCACTTGTCCATTATTGAATAAAGATAAAAAATTTTAAAACATAAACAATTTGACCATGATTTGACCTCAAGACAACTTGCCTTCCCTTACTACTACAACAAACTACAATAAGTACAACAATGACACTTGCCAATTGACATCGATCGCCCAGCTAAGTTAGCCATTACCCACAAAACTATAACCGTGCCATTACCCCAAACCAAACCTCAACTTCAAGGTTCAAAGAACACTTCACACATTTATTTGAATATGGTAGATGAGGTAAATCGAGTGTAACTGTACATAATTATATTGAATCACAATGGGCCATCGAAGACCTGGCATGGGACTTTTAGGTAAATACAATTTATGTCTCTTTAAGTTGGTACCATATAGAAAACTTTTTTATTATTTATCTTAGGGAAAATATTTATTATTCATAAAAAGGTAAGCATGTTCTAAACTCAAGGATACAATCATCAAATATCATTTTTTTTTTCAGTCGTATAAGCGTTGTGTTAATTATAAATGTACTTTAATGTTGAGTACAATTAAAAAAATGTATATCTGATGATTGTATTTTAAATTTTAGAACTTTACATGAAGATCAATTTTTATCCTAAGATGAATAATAAAAAAATAGATTTCCATATGGTTCCAACTTAGTGAGACATACTGTATATCGTAGATTTGAAAAAACGCTCGGACAGGTCGATTTTACTTTCGAAGGGGACATTTTAATGTCCCACTCGTAGTACCGTCACTTCGAGCAGTGGGGTGAACAACCCCTAAAATATGAATAGGGAAAATGGGTCGAGTGGGACATCGTTTGAAAGCCCATTGAATCTTCCAAACGAGGGTGTATAGTTTTTGGCTCATCCCAATTGAAAAAACTGTACACCGTTGTTTATAGAATTTAACAGGGCTTTGAACGATGTGCCACTCGACTATTCTATTAAAATTTTACTAAAGTTGACCTTTCCGAGCATTTTTCTACATGCACGATATTATTACCTAAAAACCACCATGTCAAGCGTTGATAAGATGTCAAGTTTTCCATGAGCCAGGGAGTCCCAAATTCGAGGGGTATCATTGGAATCTCCGTAACCATAACAGACTCAAAGTAGGTAAAATCTCGCTGATACCAACATTCCCACCAAGTCAATATTTATGCTCAGTGTCTTCATATCATCGATACTCTTTCATGGTATAATCATGTCAGATCCATCGCGAAAGCTGCTTCACAAAAACTCGGATTCTTATTCCTTGCGAAAACCTACTTTACACTTCAACAGCTTCTCATGATTTACAAAGCACAGATACGACGTGTTCTAGAATACGTTTCTCACATATGGGGTTCAGCGCCCTAACATGTGGGAGATGCCACACTCACTAACACTTTGAAATCATTGGAACACCGTAGGAAAGTCGGCGACCTTTCACTTTCCTATAGATACTTCCACGGAAAATGTTCCTCAGAAATCTCTGCTATATTTCCATCACTAGCAATACCAGTCAGACGAACTCACAGGCCCAGTCAGCAGATCCCTTCGTCGTTAACCTTTGAATATGTCGTACAACACTCGTTTGTCTATAGAACGGCTAAGCTTTGGGATTCTTTGCCAATGGAAGTATTCCCAAGAACTTATAACCTCCAAATGTTCAACAAAAATTCCAACACCTACAGAATTATGAATCACCATGTATTCGTTCAAATTGAATATAAGTAGATAGTTAATCAGAAGTCAAGATAGGGACATGTAGGCCGTTTTGACCAATAATGAATAGTTTCGAGACAAAAAAAATCCTAAAGTTGAAAAATCTCGATTTCAAACACCCTTTATCCCTGTAATCATTCTCGCTAGACCCCAAGTGTGATGCATTGATGGAGTCAGCTCACAAAGGAGAATCCGATTATGCAATAAAATATAGGGTGTCCCATGAGAAAACTGATACGTCACGCATTTTTGTGTCGCCCTGTATAACGCGAAATATTTTGGAAATATGCTGCTAATGAACCTAGACCATCACAAAATTTTTTGTTCATTTATCTCAAACAGCGAAGCCGTTATCTCACTTACCCATTTTAATCACTCACCTTGTATATTCCCCATGTTCCCTGCTATAAACAAATGTTGTTTTTCTGCAACCGACTCAGAAGTCATCCATTTTAATACCGAAATAGGGTCTTGAATTGACGTTTCTATTACTGACACAAAAATAGGTATGTTGCTAGGCAACATATTTAGTTCCTAGGAGCTAAAGTTCAAATTTAGATCCTAGGAGCAAAAGTTGAATTTTATCTCCTAGGAACTAAAGAAGAATGTACTAGACGTCATCAAGGTTGGTTATTTGGGTTGGGACGCATACCTGATTTGTTTCCGATTTCGGCATATTTGGCATTTCATACCGATCAGAGAAGCCTTCAAGATTCACATACTTGCTTGATCTGTATTTCATTCGTTATTCTGGGGATGGATAACTTTTGAATAATCACGGCAAGCAATAGTTTTTTGTCTCAAACAACGATATTGTTTACCTCTATTTGATTATTAAGTCAAACACAGTGTAGTATGGAGAGGAATAAATAATCGGTATTATTATTGTTAATATGCTCAATAACCTAACATTTTCCACGTCATCTTCCTATACCTGGCACTGGCGCGGTATTTGCTATTAGAGCACCCGGTCCATACACAAATATGTCACTCTGTGGTTGTATTTATGTTGAAACTACAATTCGAACATCCTTGAAAATTGAATAAACCTGCTGTTAATGCGGGTATAATATTCTCACCACACGGATTTTGCATTGATTTTGATTTGTTGCATTGCATACATATGGCACGGTATTGGTGGTTACTTCACATATTTATTCAAGTTAATTGTTTCGGTTGCAAAGTGTCACTTTTGATCCTAATAAAACAATCTACTATTTTCTTCAAGCGGCAGGGATAGTGGCTTTTTACTGCCGTTTAACAGGCAGAAAACGTGTACTTCAACTGTCTAGGCAGAAAAAGTTTGTTGCTCTGCAACGTTCCAAGAAATTCTAATGAAATTAGTAATCAAAATTGACACTGACATTGGGTGAACAAGAAATGATGGAGTTTTCAATTAAAAAAATACACAAAATTGGTTTTATATCGTTTGGAGAAAAACTTCTATGTTTCACACGGCAACAAATGTAAATCTGCCTTGGCTGAATTCCTAGCCTCGCTACGCTCTGCTATGAACTATCAGCCGCGGCAGTCAATCTACTACTTTTCTGCCTAGTAAAACGAATAACTATTCTTGGGAATAATAAAGTTAAGTCGATTCATTGATTGAAATTCCAATAAAACCAGGAAAAAATGTAAATTCCCTCGTCCTTTCAGGTTACAACAACGTGGTGAAGATCTCCGACTTCGGCATGTCGCGCGAAGAGGAAGAGTACATCGTGTCTGACGGCATGAAGCAGATCCCGATAAAGTGGACGGCCCCCGAGGCGCTCAACTTTGGCAAGTACACGTCGTTGTGCGACGTCTGGAGTTACGGCGTTTTAGCGTGGGAGGTGTTCGCCAGAGGGGGCACGCCCTACAGCGGCATGAGCAACTCGAAGGCCAGGGAGAAAATCGACACCGGTGAGCGAGATGTCAGACTAAATATAATACATATACAAAAATATTTTTGACACTAGTGGTTTACACTTGCTTCATGTGGTAAATGCTTCACTTGAAAGTGGTATTTTCCCAAAACTTAAGACATCGATAACACCAATACCAAGAGTGAAGAATACAAGTAATGCTAGTGATTTTAGACCTATCAACCTATCAAAAAAATAAAAAAACTGCTGCATACAATCAAATCATAAATTATGTAAATGACCATATCTTTCATGGATATTAATCAGGCTTCCGCAGCAAACACTGCTGTGAGACAGCACTGGACTAACTTAATTGATAAAGGTCAATATATTGTGGCAATGTTTATAGATCTAAAAAAAACATTTGAGAACATTGATAGGGGTATATTAAAAGCTAAACTAAGACACTATGGTTTTGAGGGAGTTGTCGTAGACTGGCTGAATGATTACTTAACAGGTAGAAGTCGAGTTGTAAAAATAAATAATGCATTGTCAAATCGAAAGCTAGTTGCTATAGGTGTACCACAGGGGAGTATTGTAGACCCACTCCTATTTATTCTCTACTTGAATGATTTATCTTGTAACATAAACTGTGATTTTACGAATTTGTATGCAGATGATACCCTATTAGCTATTAGTGGTGATTCACTAAATCACATGGTGAATAGGATGAATATAGAATTGTCAAAGTTAGAAAACTATTTCAAAATAAATACCTAAATTGAAACTTAATGTTCAAAAAACAAAAGCTATGATCATAATAAATCAGTGTAAGCACAGACTCATAAATACAAATGATAATAGTTTAGTTATCGAAGGCGAAGAAATAGAAATTGTACATAACTTTAAGTACTTAGGTGTTATGTTAGATGAAACTCTGTCATTTAAAAAACACTTCAACATGATAAAAAATAAGATATAAAAAATAACAGTGTACAATACATTATTTTATTATTATCCGGCCACATTTTGATTATTGCACTACAATACTGTATTTATTAGATAATAACTCTCGGTCATCTTTACAGAAATTTAAAAGCAGAGGAATGCAAATAATTTTGAAATGTAACAGGCGTACCTCTATTTGTAACATGTTGGAAACATTACAATGGCAATCTGTAAATGGAAGACTGACAACTTTTACATTGATTTTTATCTTCAAACTATTGAAGGGCTTATTGCCGGATTATCTAGATCAGTTTGTTATTTTTAGTGCAGAAATTCATGAAAGAGATCTCGTGATGATTTCCACCTAAACATAATGCTTACCAATAGTGGTATGAACTCAACGTTTTATAAAGGACTGAAAGTATATAATTCTCTCCCTCAAAGCATAAAGGGATGTGAGACTGTCAGAAACTGCAATAATGTATTAAGGAGTACCTGAGACAAAGAGACTTGCTATGATATAAAAACAAAAAGTTAATATTTATTTTTCTATATTATTTAATCAAGAAACTGTTAGTGTTATGCGGTGTATTGTTATGCTATTGGAATTGTTAATATTAGGATGTATCCTATATTGAATCAATTCTGTTCTATTCTATACTATACACACCCGCGAACAGTAGACGTCAACAATCGTAAACACGGATGAATGAATGATATCGCGAATGGTGGGGATAATTCTGCGGAATCGTTATTGCTGGGAGATGTGATGTCGTGCAGCACCACTATGTCGATCTAGGATTTAGAGGAGTTCAGTGTTGAATGTGTTCAGTCCTCATTTCAAAGTCATCTAAAACTTTACGTCGACAATCGAAGAGTAGACTTGAATTAGAAAAACTTTCAGCAGACACACTGTTTATTTGCAAAATAAAAACATATGCAAAGTAATAAAAGCACACAATAAACAAAAATGCTTTTAATGCAAACAAAAAAAAATTTTAAAAATGGAAACGAGCCAAGTAGCACTAGCATTTTCATGGTAAGTGCCGACAACTATACTGTAAGTTCTTGGTAGAACTTCCGCTGCTCTGGTAAATGAAGATAAGAAATTATAGCAAGTGAATTTTGCTTTTTAGTTGCAGTAAATCTGGGGTCGATTCCTTTTTCCTTTACTAGACACATATTCTCCACCGGACACTCGCAAGTTTTTGTTGCAACTTAAACTCAATTCCAGTTCCATATAACTTCTCATAGTATTATTATCATCGTTTCCTATATGTATTTTATTGTTTATACCACGCAAAAACGCACGAACAAAATGCTTCCGAGAGATCAAACACTGCGAAATGGACGATGTAGGAAAAACGTTTCATTAATTTGCCAAACAAAACTATACTAGTGGTACTCCAAACCCTTTGATAAAAAAACACTATGTCGATCGGGGTCGACTCAATGTCGGACAAGGACCTTTAGGAAGAGTTCAGTGTTGAATGTGTTCAGTCCCCATTTCAAAGTCAATAAAAAAAAAAAAAGAAAAACTGATTTATTTATAATCATTTATGAACAAAAATCTTTGTGATTTGAGAAAACTGTTTATTTGCAAACTAAAACGATTTAAGAAGAAAGAAAAACGCACAATAAACAATATGTTTTTAATACAAACGAAAAAAAATGAAAAAAAGGAAACGGTTCAAGTAGCACTAGCATTCTCATGGTAGGTAAGTGCCGGCAATTATACTGTAAGTTTTTGGTAGAACTTCGGTGCTCTGGTAAATGAAGATAAGGAACAATAGCACGTAAATTTTGTTTTTTTGCTGCAGTTAGTCTGGAGTCGATTCCATTTTTCTTCATTAGACACATATAAACTACCGGACACTTCAAGTTTTTGTTGCAACTTAAACTTAATTCCCGTTCCAAATATCTTTTCATAGTATTACGTTTAATATATTTATTTAATTGTTAATACCACGCAAAAACGCACGAACAAAATGCTTCCGAGAGAACAAACACTGCGAAATGGACGATGTAGGAAAAACGTTTCATTAATTTGCCAAACAAAACTAGACTGGTGGTTCTTCAAACCCATTAATAAAAAACACTATGTCGATCGGGGTCGGCTAAATGTAGGACAAGTGCCTTTAAGAAGAGTTCAGTGTTGAATGTGTCCAGCTCAATCGAAGAGTAGACTTGAATTGAAAAACTTTCAGCTGACACAAAAAACTGATTCATTTAACCATTTATGAACGAAAATCTTTGTAATTGGACAAAGCTGTTCATTTGTATAATTAAAACATATAAAAAGTAATCAAACGCACAATAAACAAACATATTCTCAATAGAAACAAAAGAAAATGAAAAAATGGAAGCGGGCCAAGTATCACTAACATTTGCATGGTAGGAAAGAGCCGACAACTATACTGTAAGTTTTTGGTAGAATTGCCAGTGCTCTGGTAAATGAAGGTAACGAACTATAGCACGTAAATTTTGCCTTTTAGCTACAGTAGGTCTGGGGTCGATTTACTAGACACATATTCTCACTTCAAGTTTTTGTTGCAACTCAAACTCAATTTCAGTTCCATATATATTTTCATAGTATTATCATCGTTTTCTATATTTATTTTATTGTTTATACCACGCAAAAACGCACGAACAAAATGCTCATAGAGATCAAACACTGCGAAATGGACGATGTAGGAAGAAAAGTTTATTTGCCAAACAAAACCATACTGATGGCACTTCACCACCTTCAATAAATAACCACTATGTCGACTCAATGCCGGACAAGGACCTTCAAGAAGAGTTCACTGTAATTTGACGAGAGTATGTTTGGGTGCTGAACCCCATATAGTTGACTTGGTAGGAATGGAAAATATGCAATAATAAATGAGCTCTCACGTATTGCAGCATAATAATACGCCATTTTGTAACGTTCATGTGGGGTTATTTGATACATTGATATTATACACGAACTAGGCATTTACCGACAGAACTCTTCTTTGGAATATCGAAAAAACATTGAAGATTGCAAAATTTATGCCGGAACACATTCATACCACTTATATACACTTATATATAATAAAAAAAAGCTATCAGAATATGTGAACACATATTTTTAAAAAAGTTGATGTTGGTTCTACGAATACAAAACTTCGTGAAGAGATCAACCACGTTAAATCTCATCAGAATTTGCTATGGAAAAGTAATTTTAGTTTTTCAGTATCTAATAATAACGTAGAAAAAAAACTAAAATGAGATTTTTCAAAAATTCACTTTTTTGTTTGATATACCTAACTGAAAAACTATAAACCATTTTGAAATTTTTCGAAGGCCGTTGGTACGACCCTCGGAATGCGCAACTTTTTTCCCATTCAACCGAATTCGTTTCTCGTGAGAGTCGTCATGTCGAGTGTTGACCAGTTTTTTATTTTTTTTTTAGGTTACAGGATGCCAGCACCTGAAAACACACCCGACGAAATGTACAGACTCATGCTACGATGCTGGGAGTACAAACCAGAGAGCAGGCCAAATTTCGAACAAATCTATAGTGTTGTTGAAACCCTCTGTGCAGCTTATAGGGTTTCGTTTTGTTAGGATATAGAAATGATAGATCCCAATAATGATGTTCTGACCTCTGTTCCAAATTACTCAGAGAACGCAAACAAAACTTTGGTACATACAATATTTCCACCGCTTGAGATCTAGAGAAATAAAGTTTAGTCTCCTTATTTTGCAAGTGTTATCACCTCTCAAAGTGAATGTATAAGAATCTGGACCACCGTATATAAGTTGAGGGTAGCCAAACTTCGAGCTCAAACTTCATGAATTTGAATTGAGATAACGGTACCGTTTTAAATACATTGAATTTGGATCAGAGGTTTGAACATTTTTTTTCATTTCTCCGTTATATCGGAACATCCTGTACACAATTACTGTTTCTGTGATCAAACCCACGCATTGTGGAAAAATGAATTCGAAGTTTGGAAGAATTTAAAGCAAATTGTAAAATAGCTATGCAGAAATTGATTTCGAAGACTTTTGAGGTTAAGTGCCATAAATATATTGCATATCTCATTTTTTTCAAAGATTCTTTCTTACTAGTTTTATAGAATAATAAAATGTGTTTTTGAATGTTCTTTTGAAAACCTTTTATTTGGTGCAATCAGTAGTCTCGTGTTGTAACAAAATTGTTATAAAAAAGCTCAAAAATTCTATTTACAATTTATCTTGTTCGAGATATTTTCCATGTTGATAGATTTAAGATTTTTTTATATTACTTACATTGTTTTAAATAGATCTGAATGAGTGCCGTTGATTTTGGTTACTGTGATGATTGATGTAAAAAATAGTTTTTATTGAAAGAAATATACATTTTTTATGTTGGATAATGTTTCATTAGAGAAAAAAGTTGAGAGAGTGTGATTTGGAGTTGAGGACTTACGTTTGTTGAGCTGAGTTTTTATGTATACGAATTTTCAGTCATTTGCATGGAATCTGTCAAAAATTCCACAATAAATTCTGTGAGAAGTTTCAAATCGCGGTAGTCAAGGTCATCATCTGACGTTGACATGAAAACTACGGGAAAACATTTCTAACTTTCAATCTTAGCCAGTAGCGAATACAGAAAACTAGAGTTCCTAATGTACTGGATACTGCTGTTTTGACGGACACTGAATAGGTTCTCAGCAAACTCAGATATGGATTTTATTACAACAGTCTGTCAGGTTTGACAAGCAACAGAACTAAAATTGAATAAAGTGCTAATATCATAAACATATTCGCATAATCAGATCTACTGTATGTAATATTGATGATTTTATACAATAATAGTACATACCTGAAACCAGGCGACTGTTGGTACCGAATATAATTCAATCTCACAGTTGAAAACCCAAATGGCTTTCAGTTCAACTTGTCTTGCTAACAAACTTTATAGTTTCTTAGCAACATGAAAAGTAACTATACCGCATGTATATCAAACCCAATAGATGATACTGAATGGTTTTTTTTGTCACAACACTATGACAAGCACTGGCAGTCACACAGCCACAAATAAATTGATGAAAAAAGCGGGAACTAACAGTACACGAACTTACATACGACACTGAATTACCAGATAAAATCTACGGTCGTTCTGGTGACAGTGAATCTACCACTTTTTCAGCAATCGAGTTCCGTAAATAACCTTTTTTCAGGAACCAACCAAAAATTTCATATTTACGGAACGGAAAACTACTTACCAAAATAACCAAGTTGATTTGCGGAACATACCCTTAATAGCTTTTTTTTATTTCTTGTAGCCATCTGATTTTCTCTTAAGTAATGCTCTATGTGGACAGAGCTGTCATTGCTTGAAAGTTGGCATTCCATGGGAGATGGCGTTTATTGTGAAATAATAACACAATGAAGTTATTGTGTTATTATCGAATAAGCCAATAAAATTGAAGACATACATGTACCTCATTGATTTATCAAAAACAGAAAAACAATAGCAATGTTGTATTATAGCCGCAGGAAATAGTAGATTGTTTTATTAGGATCAAAAGTGACACTTTGTTTGACAAGCGAATTTTGCATCTGCGAGGCGGAGCGTATAGCGAATAGGAGAAAAAGAATCACTATACAGGGTGCCCCGAAATAAGCCTGTCAAACTTCACTAAGCGGCTTCTACGGCGAAAAATTGGAAGAAAAGTTTTTATGAACATAAGTTAAGAAATGTCTTCTATGGCAGCTACGGCCTCCTGAAAGAGTACTCCTGAAGATGATATTTCTTGAATTTTGCCGAAACGCCATGTGACGAAATGATGCAATTCGGCACAAGAACTAAACTTTCCATGACCAGTGAAAATAAAATCATTCCTAGATTTCATTCACGAATGTATAAAACAAGGTTGGACTACATCGAATATTGCCCAAATTTGTTTATATTCATATTTTCAAACAATTCAATCAGGGATTATAAAAATTCACACCGAAAAAGGTATTCTTGTTCCGTATCGATCAGATGCATCATTTTCGAGTAAAATCGATTTAAAAATATTGTGTTCCAATCACATTTTATGCATAACATTGCCAATTTTCAAATCATAGTGGTTATAAAAAAATCAACCTCTTCATTTCACCAAAAAAGCACATAGAGGCGCGTCAAATAGGAAAATGATGATGAAAATCTACTTCAATCTTCGAGCGTTTTTTTTTTCATATACATATAATGCAATATTATGCATGATATCTTATATAGATGTAACAATATTTTTAAATCGATTTTACTCGAAAATGATACATCTGATCGATACGGAACAAATGTACCTATTTTCTGTAAAGAGGTGTGGATTGCCATAATTTGAGATTGAATTGACGAAAAATATGCATATTAAAAAGTTTGAGCAATATTTAATGTAGTCCAACCCTGTATGAATGAAATTATTTGAATTTCACTGCATTGGGCATGAAAAGTTTATTTCTTTTACCGCATTGTACCAGTTTGTCACATGGCGTTTCGGAAATATTCAAGAAATATCATCTTCAGGAGCCCCCTTTCAGGTGGCCGTGGCTCCCTTAGCAGACATTTGTCGGCTCATGTTCATTGAAACTTTTATTCCTATTTTTCATCATAAAAGATGCTGGTGAAGTGTGGCAGGCTAATTTCGGGGCACCCTGTATACACATTGACTCACATACTCTAGAAGAGGAACAATGAACTTTATATTTTCCACTAATGCGAAACTTTACAGAGGTTTTTACGAAGAAATTGTGTTGACGTCTTTGATCGAACTCCTCCATCAATTTCTCACAAGACGTCGTTTTTAACAAATTTGCCGTCACGTCATCTAGCAGATCTTCAGTCTGTCAGTTTTGAAAAGTGTCAGAATATAATACATCAAAATGAAAAAAAAAAAATTATATGCTACGACTGCGAAGAAATAACATGTGTTCGGCTAGAATAGATTTTAATTTTTTTATAATTCAAACCTCATGAATACCATTTATAAATATAATTTTATAAGTTCATCACTTACTGCCGACGGTGTCAAAATACCAAGATCCGTGAATAAGAGTGTGATGTATGAGGGTGGAGTGTAGTCCACCAAAGGATGAATCTTTCTGAGATCACAACTCTTCCTAACCTCTGAAGTATACTGAAAGAAAAAATAAATACTAGTACCGAATTCAGCGCAATTGTATTGGGTTGTCCAAAGAAAACTGGAATTTTGTTTTTGGAGAATAACTTTTTGAATTAAAGTACCCATTTGATTGATTTTGGTCTTGTTTTAAAGGGAATTGAACAAGACCAAACGTCAACTCATAAAACAAAATGGCAGACACTCCGAAACTTTGCCCAGATTGAAAACTTGCTGGAACTTTTTTGAGTCGCACTGTATATTTTTACAAGTGAGAGCTTGGTCTTTTCTGAACAGAACAAGAGGTCAAACATGCAAATCCGTCAAGAAATAACTGAGATTTAACAGTTCCGTTTTATTACATTTTTTTTTTATATTTCCTTCCCCCACGTCTTCCCCAAACAAGAACAATACATGAGAATGGGCGAACAACATTCACAACAATAAGCGAGCATTAAAATTGTCTATATTCGTGGTAGATTTCATCAGACTTCTTCGTAATCTTATTATTGATCATCCGTCAACCATTTTCACGTTGTCTGTGTTTGGTGAATTGTGCATATTAGACCAGGATCGATAATTTTTGAAACCGAAAAAAATTAAAGCAGAATGAAACCAATTTAAAAGGGAAGAGAATATAACAAAAATGAAAGGAAAAATAAATTACGGTCGATCCGAGGTCGGAAAAAAGTTGAATGGCAAAGTTATAGGTAATAAAAAGATCTATAACACTTGTGAATAAACTTTTTTCACATAACCTCGAGATTTGTGTTGAAAATTCAAATAACCAAGTTTTGCTTTTTTATTTTTTTACAATTTTTTTTTCACGAAATTTTGTGAAAACGCTTTTTATATTCCAAACACACTGTGATTTTTTTGATTTGAAATATTCTTTTTTCACCTTATTTTGACACAATCAAAAAGGAGAGATTTCAACGAAAAAGAAATAAAACGTACGGTATCCGCTAGACAGACATGAACGCTACCTGAGTGAAAATGACGTTCGCGCGTATTTATTTAACATTTCGGTCCACTTTGAGCATTTTGGTTTTTCCATAGTTGAAATCATGCCAGTCGGGCAACCAGCCACTCCCATTTCATGGGAATTTGTTTTGGAGTTTTTCTTTCCTGCTCAGGTGGCGTTCGTGTCGGTCTCGCGGATAGCGTACGCCTCTTGGGTAATAAATGCTGGGATGTGTTTACGTTGGGTCAGGTTTGCACTAGATAACGGTCATGAATGCTATCTGGGACAGCCCTGCACTGATGAGCGGCGAAAGCTCGAAAACGTTTTGCAGGTGTCACGCATTCCTGAACCACTTAGGCGCAGCTCGGCGTTTAGGAAGAAAACACTTGCGATTTTAATAGTCTACTCTAATTATTGCATAGATTTCGGAAGGATATAATTCAATGTTCTGCATGGCATATAGCGAGGAAAGTAGTTGTTTTTCTCTCGTTATCTACCAATTTCGTTCAATTGAGCTTTGCGTATTTATTTATACTCAATATTTCTTATTATAAGTATTCGTGAAATAACTCAATTCCAACCAATATCCGATATCAAAAAACTCAAATGTCACTTTTTCTAGTTTCTATTCTAGTTTCTATACGTTTTTGATGTCTTGTTTGTTTGCTGGTTAAGAATTTTTTTCTACAAACGCTTAACAAAGAAGCCTTTGACACTTTAAAATTCCAGCACAAAGTTGACGTTTTCTCAGAAATGTCATTCTTTGACAGCATTTGCGCTCGTGAGGAGCGGAAATATTCGCGAAAATCACGGACCAATAGATGGCTCTATTATATGTCAAATCAACGTCAAATTTCCAACTGAGTATGAACAACAAAAACATTGCCGTATGCACTCATTGAAAATTGGTTATTTCCAAATCATTTTGCAAAATAGTGAATAATAAGTTGACTTCTTGAAATACGTACAAGGTTTCCAGTATGGAAAAAATTACTTTTTGTGCAGAGAAATTGCCATTTTGATGTGGACAATGGTGGTATTCATCATTGATATCACACTACAATCCCACAGTTTTCAAACATATGGAATGATCGGAATGGTCCACTCAACACTTGCATGGACTGGAATGGAACCATACAAGCAATCAGCTATTACAACAATATGGTATAGGTATGAAGAAATAATTGAATTCATCAAGAAATATCACTGGCTTTTATGAAGGAGATGGAATTCTAGTGAAGGGGTTGGGAAAGAAGATATGGTTGGAGAGGCTGCTCATAATGAACAATATCATCGATTTACAAAAACAAGGATCTCCAGCAATTGAGGACTTGAAGTTATTCTCAAGATCGAATTATGGCAACCAACATTTATACAATGATTCTAATTGTGCTTCAGAAAATGTATATATATACATAAATTGGTGCCACTCCGAGATGGTGAATATGAATTCAGAAAACGTTTTACTGGCTTATTTTGGTAAAAAATCAAAGACTTTGAAGTCATCAACTCATTGGTCTATATATTCGATGGAATACGTATACATGCTTGAATGTTAAAGATAATATCGGAATTAATAAGTATCTGAAACTTATCGCATTTTTCAAGGAACAATCTATTGGATATAAAGCGAGAAAAATACAAAACATTCACCGCTGAAGATATATACCAACAAATTTCTACAAGAAGCTCCCGATGAAGTGTATTTTTATTTTATTGCATCAATGAGTAATGTTCGATTTGATTGCAGAGTTTATCGTACTATGGCTCAGAGGTCTGAAGCTCAGGTTGCCACGCTGGTGGTCCAGTTTCAATTCTCGGTTTGGCCCGACATTTTTTTCTGGCTCGTCAGTTATTTAAAATTTTCTTTTTTTGTTTACTTTGGACATATGGGATGATATGGATGAGAACTTTTTCGATTATTCCAATCGCTCATACTTTCAGGGTAGTTATTTCCAAAAGCTGCGTTAGTAGAAAAAATCTTGTGTGTATTTCGAGCACAAAGTGTCATTGCCGCTCTCAAAAGATTACCGCGCTCCGCATCGCGCGGTAACTTTCTTTGTCGAGCGGCAATCTATCACTTTGCGCTCTAAATACACAAATAGCTATTATCGAATTCTCTAGAAATGAATCAGTGGAAATCGTTCAATTATATGACGTAATTCCACTTTGTTGTAAGAATAGAATAGAATTCATAAATAATCGAGAACAATCTTACAAGGCAACCTGTTTCACAAAATACCTATCTAATAAGTTTTACAGAAGACAATATTCACCACTTGCATATCGACATAACCTACTATCTAAATCGATCGAACTGGATCCCACGGAGCATGCTTAGGACCTTGTTACTACTGTATTTCATGATATAAATGTTAGATTCTCCATCAGTTGAAGGCAACAAATGAAGAAAAAGATGATGAAGAAAATGTGTAATATTGAATACCACCAGTGAACCTATTTTTTCCGGAAATATTCGGCGATTGTTACAACAGCTTGTTGCCTAAATAATAATAATGATTAAAGAGCTTTATTGGATACCCAAAAGGCTACCGACCGAGATCCTTCAGCCTTACACACAGTGATTATACATTGAGTTTATATTCATCATTATTGTATGTACATGATATATGGAATTATTAAATTTGCTAGTGTAAAAAAAAAGTAGAAAAGTTTATTGTGAGGCAAGAATTTTGAAAGAATTTCAGTCTTATGAATTGATTAAGCATTCCAATAGTGTGCTTTCCGGAAACTTCTGTCTTGGGTTCACTGTTGGATCTCTCTGTAAACACTGGAATTGGCTAATCGTTGCCTAATAATTTCGCGAATGACATTTTTTCCATCAATTTCATGACAGAAATTAAGAGAGCAATCAGGAGTATGTCAATCGATGAATATTTCCAGGAAGAATAGTATCACGAATTCTATTCGTATGACAATTTCATGATTGGGAAAATAAACGAGAGCCTCGCGAGTGTTGTGCAAACTGCATCTCATTCTGGCTTCCAACATAATTGACGTTTTATATGTCAAAGGTTTTATCGCTGAAAAACGAGGTTGATTAGTCACGTGTGGGTCTTTCGGCTCTTGTAGTGGTAGAGCAAGTCCGGTATTTTTTAGTAAACAAAAAATACCGCTGTAATACACATGAAACCGTGAAAATGGTCGATGGTGATTGGTTCTCGAGAATAAGAGGGAAATAGTCAGTTAACTACCATAAACATACCTTGTATTCTTCAGGCAAGTCTTGTTGGTCCAAAGGAAACAATCTGGAGAACTTGAAACTTTCTGTCAAAACATAGAATGGTTTGTTTATTTCTTTCGCACAAACTGCCATTGTATTGGTCCCAACCTAAAATTGTAATATGCTTCCTCATTTTTCGACAAACTTTTTCAATGCCTTCACAATAATAATTTTTCCGATATTGTCATCTAACTGAGAAAACACTTCAACACACATAATAATGTTGACCCTAATTATTTTAGTATCGAACACTATAAGCTGGAACGAGGGGATAGAGATGGTAGAGGTGGAGGAGTTCTATTTTATATTAAAAACTCCATCCGATATGAAGTTATTCTTAGGGAAATATCGCAAAATATAGAACAATTATGGATCAAGCTGAGAGCTCATGGAAAATGTTTCATTATTGGCGTGCTGTACAGACACCCAGAAAGTATTATCTAAAATTTTCTCGACTGTCTAGATGATTCTGTTTCACAATTGCTACCTGAATGTGATAAAATCGTAGTTCTTGGGGATTTAAATATAGACCTCCTCACAAACAACTTGAATACAGTGCACTTTCGAAACTTTCTAGAGTCTTATGATCTGATTCAATTAATAAATGAGCCAACCAGGATCACAGCATCAAGTCGAACTTTACTTGACGTCATAATTACCTCTGCAACTGAAAATGTCCCGCCCTATGAAGTGACTAATTTACATGATGTTTTTGACCATTGTGCCGTTTCATGTCAAATATTGAAAAAAACTTCGGAGTGTTCTTCCAAATTCATTAGTTATCGAGGCTGGAAAAATTTTGATAAAGAGGTATTTTATCAACATATTAATGATTTCAATGGGGATTCCATTTATACAATAGCTGGCCTCGAAGAAAACTGAAATTTTTCACAGAAAACTTGAGAATGATTTTTGATATACATTGTCCTGTTCGCGAAGCTAGAGTTTCAAAAAAATCTGGCCCTTGGCTAACATATACGATTAAAGTTATGATTAAGCTGAGAGACAAAGCTTATAATAGATTCAAAAAAAGTCATAACATCGCTCACTGGAACTATTATAAAGAACTGAGGAATTACGTCACAGCCGCAATTCTCAGAGAAAAAAAAGCGTATGTTGAATTCGCGATACGCCAAAACGATAGCAAATTGACCTGGAATCGGCTCAGATCCTTGAAAATTGTAAATGAGAACAATTCTTATTCAATACCGCCTGAATTGATAAAAGCTCACGATATAAATTCACATTTCGTCAGCCTACCTAACATTGATAACACTGAGGATCAATATCGATTGCTGGATAAATACTCCACCATTCCGCGAGGCGAAACTTTTGAATTCTCATCTACTACAGATGAAGAAGTTATAATCTCAGGCTGTGGGATGCGACAATATATCGAAAAGAATGTTCGTCTCGTGAGTTTTCATTTGGTTGAGTATTCAACCCATATAATCAATACAGCCTTGATGTCAGGTTTGTTTCCGGAGGCGTGGAAATGTGCCATGGTGCTTCCCTTACCCAAAGTTGCTAATTCCTCGTCATACTCTGACTTGAGGCCCATCAGTATTCTTCCCATGCTTTCGAAAATCTTGGAAATGGTGATAAAAAACAAATTTCTGACTATGTATTTACAAAAAATATCATTCCTGTTTCACAATCGGGGTTCCGGCAGCATCACAGTACAACTTCTGCTTTAGCCTGTATCACGGATGATATACTCATCAGTACTGATAAGAACGAAGTGACATGTTTAGTTTTATTGGATTACAGCAAGGCTTTTGACACTCTGGACCCCCTTGTACTGGAACTAAAACTCAGATGCTTTGGGTTTGGACCTAGGTCTGTCAAATTAATTGCCAATTATTTGAGAAATCGATCGCAGTATGTTGTAGTTGATAACCAGACTTCCGAAGTGAAACCGCGAACTCTTGGTGTACCACAGGGTTCAATTCTTGGTCCACTATTGTTCTCTATTTATATTTCAGACTTTAACGAATTTATGAAATTCTGTCAAGTACATCAGTATGCAGACGACACACAGCTGTACCTTAGTTTTCAAATAGAAGACCTTCACCTTGCTATGGATCATATCAACGCTGATCTAGCGATTTTGTATAATGTTTCATCGGCACACAACTTAAAACTGAACGCCAGCAAATCAAAGCTCTTGGTATTTGGTCCCAAACACAAACGATTAGTCTTCGAGCAACTGAATAATATACAAATAGCAGGTGATGCATTGCCAGTTGTAGAGGAATGCAAAAATTTAGGGTTATGGCTAGACAGTGATATGAGATATACAAAACATGTCAATCATCTCAGTAAAATATCTTATAATACTCTGAGAAGTTTATACCCGCAAAGAAATATTCTTAGCAATGAGCTAAAATTACATTTATGTGAATCACTGATTATGTCTAAACTCTCATACTGCGACTGCATTTATGGCCCCGATCTTCTAATTACAGATCAGAAGCGTTTACAAAGAATACAAAACTCATGTATGAGGTTTTCTATGGGAATTCGTAAGTTCGATCCGATTAGTCAGGCATATCAAGATACCAAAAAACTCAAACTTCCTTTGTTACGTGAACTGCACTTTTTAACATTCACCCATAAGATTTTAATCACCAAAAAGCCTTCTTATTTGAAGGATAAACTGAAACGGTTCAAAAATATTAATAATTTTCAGACACGTAACAGGCGCCTATTAGTCATTCCTAACCACTCTACTACCATCTTCAAGCGTAGCTTCTCCTACGTGGCTTGCACGCTTTATAACTCCCTTCCTCCAGACTTCGCCAATTATACTATAATTAATTTCAAGAAGAAACTGAAAAATCACCTTTTATCAAACATGTAGGCAAATATGTACAATTACGCGGCCATGTCTCTGGTTCATAATGGAGGTTCATATACTGATATACTGACCCGATATTCTTATAATCATCGATTTATTTATTGGAATTCCTCTGATAAAATTTATATTATTTCATCATTTATCAAATATTTTACCCATAATTTAACGTTAATTATATTTCTAGAGTTAAGTTGAAAAACACTGTTTTACAGTGACACTTCACCCATTCAGTCACATCTTTTTTGTTTCTTTTGTTTTTTGAGATATATGTATTCATGTCTTATATGATATTGTGTGATTGAATAAAGTCCAATTATTATTATTATTATTATTATTATAATGATGAAAAGTCGATATTTAACATACCTTGTTAACGATTCCGCCACTTTCTACTACTCCTTCAGTCCCAACCATGATGAAATCAACTTGTTCCATTATGTACCCTATAGCGGAATCCAAAATAAGAGTGCATGGTATACCTTCAGCTTCCAGGTCTTTACACATTCTAGTTCTGAAAATGTAAAAAAAAATTGGCTTGCTACTGCTAGGCAATTCAACCACATGTCTAACTCCTCATAATGTTCACGTGATTCATTGTGACAAATGAGGTTTGGGACTGCTTGGTAAAATATAGGTTCTCGTCATTTTCATTCTCCACCAGTTGGCGTTACTAGAGTTTGAGATCTATGTCAATGTCAAAAGCCACATTATGAAGATATGATTGAAGGAGGAATTGAAAAAAGCAAAGGAAGAATTGGAATACGACCAAATGAAGGAATATCTCAGCTTGCGAGAAAGAGACGGAGATTCATACCACCAGGTGCACCCTTCATGGGAGGGACATGGGAAATGCTGATCAGGAGTGTCAAGAAAACATTCAACACAATCTTGAATGGACAGAAACTGAAAGAATGAACTCTGACAACTTTTTTAGCGGAAGTAGAAAGCATTTTGAACTGCAGACCATTGACGTACGTTTCGACTGACCCTGCTGACATGGAAGCGCTGACTCCAAACCACTTTTCACTGGGTACTTACGTCAAATGGGGAGAAGCCCCTAACAGATTTTGGAGGAGAACGATACCTAAGGAAGGAATGGCATAAGACACAAATTAGCGAATTCATTTTGGAATAGGTGGACGAAAGAGTAGATTATGCCAACAAATGATTCACAACCGCTGAGAAAAAACGACGTTGTGATAATAATAGAAGAAAACATGCCAAGAAATTCATGGAAAATTGGCATAGTAGAGGATATTTTTCGGGGACCTGATAACAGGATACGAGTAGCAGATATCCGAACCAGAACTGGAACTTTCCGGAGACCTGTTGCAAAGTTGTGTCGGTTGGATATCAATCCTGACACTCAGAAGGGGGAGAATGTTGAAGATTATTGTTAATTTCATATTGTAAATGTTAGATTTGACCCTGTATAAGGGACTTTTGGTTGTTGTCAATTTTGACTTGAAAAGGAGAAACGTCTATTCGCGATATCCACGAAGTGGGCGACATCTAGGTTACATAATACGAACTTCAAACTTGGGGAAAACAAACTGTTGTCTATGGATAAAGTGCATAGACTGCATTGCATTCAGCTTGCTGTAGCTGTAGTCAAACTTGTCAATGACACATAAAAGAACAGCTACATGTTTACAATACCCAGGTTGTCCTGCTTTGCATGAACAAATACAAATCCATTGTTCTACAGGAGTTCCTCTGGACCCCAACTTCAATTTCACTTCATGTGGGGAAGATTTCATCGAAGTTGTAAATAAAGTGCAAAAATGTGCCTTTTGTTGAAGTCTTCTGCCTCACACAAAATCACATGATTAGCACGGAGAACTGCTTCCCTTTCCACTATCAGCGTTTTCGATCGACTATCGACAATTAATGTCAAGAAATTCAAAAACTTATCACTCTCATCAGTACACAAGCTAATGGCACTAATGGGATTGAGTTTGTTTTCCCCCAGTTTTGACGTGGCTTTGACATGGAAAGACGAAAACCGAGCGCCACCTGGTAACATTGATTCCCGCGAATACAGTCCAAGACTATTTTATGTTATTATTCGACCAGACAATAACACATGGTATACAGTATAAACTGTTCCCGTTAACTGTTCCCGTTAACTGTTCCCGTTGTGTTGATTGTGATTCTTATCAGTGATATTCTTTCAACCTGAACAAACAGAAATATTTCACTATGCGTTGTTTCGAAAAACTTTAATCCGAGAGAATACATGTTAACTGATTCAATTCAGTTCAAGTGAAATATTTCAGTTAGGTCGGAATGAAATGATATTACTATAGGTAATGTGAATTTTTTATTTTCATGCATTCTTGTTCTGATTTTACTTTTGTTTTTAGTTTCAGATCAGAAGGAAATTTTCCCATTATTTTAATCAGATACGTAATCAAAAAATTTGTTCGCGTAATTTCATATTCGAATCGATCTTACCCAAGAATGGTTATATTATTGAGATGAAATAATTGGCATTTCCTAAAATAATCGTCATCGTGTACATTTCAATATGATACTTACCTATACCATCATTCTTATCAATTTCTTACCCAATGTTATCTGGAGCAGATATAGTGACAAAAACTTCGAATCTCTTATTTTGCTTGTGGGCTTTTCTCAATGTCTGTAAAACAACCCTGGACCTGGAATGCGTCAAAATTCGCTGAAACAGATGAAAAATCAGCAAAAAACAATCCAGACTCCGTTTTTTGTATTCACCGATCCATCTCCTATAAAATTGGAAGCCAATTTCACTATTTTCCCTCTTGAATCATCCAACTTCTTGATGAACAAGTGTCCCCTGTCCATCATTATTTTTTTGCACTCATCAAAATCCTAAAATCCCACGAACAAATAGGTACAAATGGCTTCAAGTAACTTGCAGGTAAACATTTCTTTCATTAATAGAGAATACTCGCACCCAATCTGATTTACTACCATAAAATGAAAGTTCGAATCACTTTGTATGTACAGGCTGTTGAGGTTAGAAATAAAAATGAATTACAAGAAAACTACTGATTTCTCAAAATTTTAAGGGTTTTCTATCCTGCATCTCATAAAGAACAAAGAATTTGATTTGACAAAAAAACTTTGTTCATTCTTTATTGGTTTGGTCAAGTGAGTGTTGAGGGAAAAGTATTGGGTACCCGAATATTCCAGTAAAAATTGAACAACATTATGTACGCTGATTATGTGAAGAAAACTGTTTGTGGTAGTGATCTAGACTGAATAATCAAATTAGTGCTTTTAAGTAATGGCAATTTTTTTTCTGAAATGTTTTCAAACATAATCATAACAAATATGTGGAGGTTTTACCCTTGTGTCTAAAGATGCCAAAGTGATGAATCTTAAAAATAATTCACAGCCAGAGTTGATGGCAGCAACTGTGTAGTTTGAATTTTTCATTTGAGAAATGGCGTCTTTCAAGTTTGCCTCCAACTCCTGAACTGTTTCAGCTGAAAATAAAAGGCAATAATGAAAATTGGTACGTCAATAATAAAATTATATGGTACACTAAGTGGAATATCATCTGGCATTGAACAATAAGAAGGGTAATGATGGACAATCTAATATATAAAATTCTCCTGTCCCGGTCACGGTGTTAGTGGTCGAACTCCTCCGAAACGGCTCGACCGATTCGTATGAAATTTTTTGTGCGTATTCGGTAGGTATGAGAATCGGTCGTAATCTATTTTTTTTTACTCACATAACTAAAATGGCATTTAGCGTACGGATATGTACCACGCTAAATGATCGATTAATCACGGATTGACGATCTGTGAATTGACGATCTGTGATTTATTCAAAATATTAAACACGTTACTATGGCAACACGATTTCTTAAACACATTACCATGAAAACACAGTTCATTAAACACAGCTTCAGTAATTTGAGACATGTCTGGCCTGTCAATTGTATTAACTGTCAACTGCTATTTTCGAATTTTGTATCAGAATCACTCAAACAATATTCGTTTGTATCAGAATTCTTCATTGAAAATATATGCGAAATATAGACGAAAGTAAAATCGAAGAGAATGTCCTGGTACTTGCATATCTCCAAGAAGTTTGAAAATGAAGCATCCATCTTTGAGAACAATTTATTCATTCTGCGCCAAGCATGGCAATAAACGTTAAACAAAGGTTAGTAAGCAATGGACTGGACATGGACACATCTACAACCAATATCACTTAAACGTGTCTCGCTGGTTGCATGCAGTTGCATGTATTATGTTTTCAATTACCATTCCTTTCGAATTATTTTGTTGGTTAGCAGGAATAGCAGGTATGTTAATGTAATTTTTGGAGTTCGTAGAAAAAGCATAGTACAGAGTGACCCATTTGAAAGCGGGCCACCCCTGTATCTCACGTAATCGTTGGGTAAGGATCATGAAATTTGCTGGAGCGAGAGATATACCAAAAATGCACTCTATAACCAAGTGGGATCGTCTTCATTGATATACACTGCTCGCCAACAGCCATGGAACCACCCCAATTTCCTGAAAATGATATTAGGAGTCAAAATAGGTTGAAAATCACTTCGGATTCGGAATCAGGACGCCCAATTCTCTAACTATTCATATTTTTCCTTGAAAATTTTCAGTTCTGAAACATTACATTTTGTCGCACTTTTCATGGAAGCGCACCCCCGTATCTCACGTAATTATTGTGGTAGGGTTCTAAAATTTGCAGGAGGAACGGAAAGTCCAAAGATGAAGTCAATTACGTGAGATACAGGGGTGCTTCCGTGAAAAGTGCGACAAAATTTAATTTTTCAGAACTGAAAATTTTCAAGGAAAAATATGAAGAGTTAGTGAATTGGGCGTCCTGATTCCGAATCCGAAGTGATTTTCAACCTATTTTGACTCCTAATATAATTTTCCGGAAATTGGGGTGGTTCCATGGATGTTGGCGAGCAGTGTATATCACTGAAGATGACCTCACTTGGTCATAGAGTGCATTTTTGGTATATCTTTCGCTCCAGCAAATTTCATGATCCTTACCCAACGATTACGTGAGATACAGGGGTGGCCCGCTTTCAAATGGGTCACTCTGTATGTAACGCGTTTATAAATTCTTCTAGACACTCGTTTATAAACATTCGCTCCGCTCTGCTCCGCTCGTGCTTAAAATACTCGTTACTAAGAGGACGTTTATAACACTTGTTACATTATATAATATTTTAAATCGAGAATTCAAGACGGCGGATCCAATATGGCGGACGAGTATTGTTATCCGATTTTATTCAAAATTGATATTTGGGGGTTTTCGGGGTCGGCGATTATGATTCTTTCGTCAAATTTAAGAAATTCAAGAAGGCGGATCCAATATGGCGGACGAGTTCCGTAATTATGATCAGAACCCATTCTAAATTGGTATCTGAGGATTTTCGAGGTCAGAGATTATGATTTTTTATCAAAATTAGGAAATTCAAAATGGCGGATCCAATATGGTGGACGAGTTTTGTAATTATGATCCAATTATATTCAAAATTGGTATCTGGAGGTTTTACAGGACGGAGATATGAATCATTTGTCAAAATTTGGAAATTCAAGATGGCAGATCCCATATGGCGGACGAGTTTTGTAACTATGATCCGATTCTATTCAAAATCTGTATCTGGGGGTTTTCGGGGTCGGAGATTTTGATTTTATTCTTTAAAATTGGGAAATTCAAGATGGCGGATCCCACATGGTGAAAGAGCTTTGTAATAAATAGTAGTTTGAAAAACTATAATGAAACACGCTTTTATAGATAGCCAAACTCGAGGCCAAACTGAATAAAAGTAGAAAATTGATGATATAGTTCAAAAAACGAGATAGATTGTCGAGATAAAAAGTAGAAAATGAATATAGTAGTTTGAAATACTAAACACGATTTCATGGATATCCAAACTAAAAAGAAGTTCAAAACAAAATAATAAAAGTGTGTTGATGAATATTTATCTGAAGAAATATTTTCTAGAAGAAAATGTATATAGCAAAACAACGTGTGCCAGGTATCAGCATCAGCTATTGTAATAAATAGTAGTTTGAAAAACTAATGAAACACGTTTTTATAGATAGCCAAACTGAAAAGAAGTGAGTAGTAAATTAATGAAAAAATGAAGAGATATAGAGTGCCGACCTAAAAAGAAGTATAAATAAAATAGTGAAAGTTCTTTGATGAATATTTATTTAAACATTTTTTCTAGAAATAATGTTATGGCAAAACAACGTTTGCCGGGTCAGCTAGTATCAAGTATAAATACAAATTGATGTAGATATTATCCTCGGTGTTGTCTAACAAAAAAAATTGAATCGAAGACTTGGTCACAGAAATATATGAGTCTAGAGGATAAAAAACATCATAGTATTTCTGTATGTTTTTTATTGAGTTAATCTCTTATTTCCTTTGGTACAAATTATTCTTGTCAACTTTCTCACAGAATGTTGAGTTGAATTTGGAGGAAAACCAGGTTAATTCGAATAGCTGTGTGCTCGGCTGTGTGTAAGGTATATTTTTTCGTATTGAAACATTTTTCAACCCTTCTCAAAATGATGGGTATGGCGACAGAAAAATTATTTCTCCCACAAAGTTATTTTTTTTTTTCCAATATTTATAATAAACGAAATATCATGTTCGGAATGAATTTCCGGTCAACAAAATGCCACCGAAAAAAGTATTTTAATTTCCCAACTGTATCTCGAGAACTAAACACTTAGCGACCACGTATGTCTATCTTAGGAAATTATGAAATCAGGAGTGCTATCACCTGTCAAGCATTGTCGGTCGAATTTCGAAACACCCCGTATAATATATCTATAAATGATCGTAGCATCGTAGTGACCGTAGAAATATTTTATTGATTTGGTCGCTTCAATGCCTGCCATAGTCTAAGATAGGGTATGAGAAATATAAACCCCTATCTGTTATTTAATAATGATAGAGAATAAATGTTAGATAATACATATATTGATTCCTTGCGAATACGTTGCCTAGCTAAATGAAGTGCTGATGATGTTAAATTGTTAAATAATAATAATATGCTTGATAACATTTGTACGAGTTTGAGCAGTGGACTGTATTATTTATATCCGTACATTAAATGAAAATTGATGATCGGAAATGCATAAGGGTTGCTTTCAGTTTTTCTTCAGGAGTTCCTTTGGCGCTTACTTCTTTCTCCCTCCTAGCTAGGATTGCACACACGCATATGACACATAGAACGACGAGAATTCGTTTTTTAAAGAGAAAAATAGATTCGGTACCGAGACTTCCGTCTCTTTACCGGGTTCACTTGTGTCGCGAAAAATCTTCTTAAAGTGTCATTCAGTACTGCCGAAAAACATTTCGGCTTCGCGTTCCACATGCGCTATTGTGGTGGTACTATCCAATATATCTCTGAACCTTCGATGGTTCCGAGCAACAGCGTATAAATTGGTATACATATGTCAATAGTACATGATTTCTGAACATACCACCCATCAAAATTGTAACGAATTATTAAGATTCGTTCCTAAAATCTGGAATCAACTATCTTTTTTTTAAATAACACCCTGTACCAGTCGACCGACGGAACGAAGTCCCGTTTCATTTCAATCGTGCAAAGTCGCTACGCCGCAGAAGAGAGGGGACGCGGCGAGAGCCAAGCTGGTCACAGCGGTCGATCGGAGACGGCAGTCGATCTCAACCGCCTGAATTAAATAGTCGTGCTCGCTCATGAATAAACCGGACCGCGTGGAAAGTTGTTTGACTCCGCTAACCTGATATTCCATACTTCATACGTGTCTCGATTAACAGTTAGAATTCGATCATTTGTTTGGATTTCATTTTCATTTTGTACAATCGGTAATAAGTTTCTGCTGGTGCATTTTCCTCTTCTACTTTTCACTGCTCCCTGTTCCTGTTTTCCAAATAGTGATTTTCTGGTACGTTTTAGGACGACGCGGAATATTCACTTTTCGGTCCGCCCAGCCACCCGAGGCTTCCCAGCGATTATTTTCGATTTATTCTCAAGAGCAGTGATTTTCCCTTAATCATTACCAAATAGTGGATTTTCTGGTACGTTTCTGACGACGCGGAAAATTCACTTTTCGGTCCGCCCAGCCACCCGAGGCTGTCCAGCACCTATATTTCTATTTTCCATTCGAGATCTGACAATTTTCCCTGTACTTTACCAACAGTGATTTTCTGGTACGTTTCTGACGACGCGGAAAATTCACTTTTCGGTCCGCCCAGCCACCCGAGGCTGTCCAGCACCTATATTTCTATTTTCCATTCGAGATCTGACACTTTTCCCTGTACTTTACCAACAGTGATTTTCCGGTACGTTTCTGACGACGCGGAAAATTCACTTTTCGGTCCGCCCAGCCACCCGAGGCTGTCCAGCACCTATATTTCTATTTTTCATTCGAGATCTGACAATTTTCCTTTCTTTTTCCAAATAGTGATTTTCTGGTACGTTTTCGGACGA